AATTTTCCGGGGTGTGGCAGCTCGCACCCTTGCCTGGGGCGGCGGGGTGGTGGACACGCTCCGTGTCGCTGCCCGCTGGTTCGGGAGCTCGCCTCACCCGGGCAGTTCACTGCACATGACGGGTTTGTTTTGCTGCATTTGCAAGCGTCGGAAGGCTGTGCTATGCTTGTGGCTGTAATGATTTCCTTTGTAGCGAGCTAGAGTGCGAGACTGGGAGCAGACTTTTCTGTAACAAATATTTGCACTTGATTCTTGAGCAAAAGGAACGGTGACACCAGTTCCCCCAGTCTGGAGATGCAGAGTATCCAGGGGGTGTGATGCCTGGAAATGGACAAACCATTTAATGGTTTTATCTTCAGTCCTCACAGCTGCTGCAGCCCAATTAAAGATCTATTGTTCTGTAAGGAACCTTCTAGAAAGGGACTTTAAAGTGTAACGCGCGAGAGGAAAAAAGCATTTGGGCGGCATTCCAGGGAACCGCTGAAGAAAACCCAGGCATCAGCTGTAAACCTGTTGTGGCCGGATGGTCCTGATGACACATCGCGTCACACCACACGAGAGGGGACTGCAGTGTGAATGTCTGATAAAAATGGGAAGGTTTTGTCGATACACGGGAGGCGTAAGGAGAGGCAGCTCTGAAAATACTGTATTTATCGTTTACGGTCTCTCTGGAGCGTTGGTAGGCAGCTGGAGCTCTTCACCAAAGCACCTGACCGATTCCCTTTCAAGAGCCTGAGCAGTGCGGAGAGAACAAGCTGGAACTGCGTTTCCGAAGCACGAGATTTAAAACAAAAAGGCTGACTGCAAAGGGAATCCATGGCAAAGTATTATATTATTTTCATAAGTGGTTTAAAAAGCATTATGATTATTTTTAAAAGTCAAGAGAAGGGTCTCTATTAACTCTAAAGATGTGACGAAGATTTTTTGCAGCAGAGCTTGTGCAAATGATACTGATTGTTGGACAGGCTTTGCTAAAATAATGCTGTCTCGGCTCAGGCCTTTTTAAAGTTTTCATGTTGTACATTATTTTTATTCTTCAAAGTCCCTCACAACTTAATGAATGCAGAATGCTGCTCGAGTAGATAGGTTGAATCTTTGGCTTTGTGAAAAATTGTCATCTGCAGAAAACTGCCTTCACCTATTCCTGCTTTGTTTCTGTTTCAGGTTTCTAGCACGGGCTCCTCCATCGATCAGAGCGCGCCAGCCACAGAGCTGCTGTCATGTCGAAGCTGAAGAGCTCTGAGTCTGTCAGGGTGGTGGTGCGATGCCGGCCGATGAATAGCAAGGAGAAGACAGCTTCGTACGAGAAAGTTGTTAACGTGGATGTCAAGTTAGGGCAGGTCTCGGTGAAGAATCCGCGTGGGACATCTCATGAACTGCCTAAAACTTTCACCTTCGATGCTGTGTATGACTGGAATTCCAAGCAGGTTGAGCTCTACGATGAGACCTTCAGGCCTCTCGTGGACTCTGTTCTGCAGGGGTTTAACGGGACAATCTTTGCCTACGGGCAGACCGGGACGGGGAAAACGTATACGATGGAAGGGGTGCGTGGTGATCCTGAAAAAAGAGGGGTCATCCCCAATTCATTCGATCACATCTTCACCCACATCTCTAGGTCTCAAAATCAGCAATACCTAGTTAGAGCGTCTTACTTGGAAATATACCAAGAAGAAATCAGAGACTTGTTATCGAAGGATCAGTCCAGGCGGCTGGAGTTGAAGGAGAGGCCGGATACAGGTGTGTATGTTAAGGACTTGTCCTCCTTTGTTACGAAAAGCGTCAAAGAGATAGAGCACGTCATGAACGTGGGAAACCAAAATCGCTCAGTCGGTGCCACCAACATGAACGAGCACAGCTCTCGATCTCATGCCATTTTTGTGATCACCATCGAATGCAGCGAGTTAGGACTCGATGGAGAGAATCACATCCGTGTGGGGAAACTCAACCTGGTTGACCTTGCAGGCAGCGAGCGGCAAGCGAAGACCGGAGCGCAGGGGGAAAGGTTAAAGGAAGCTACGAAAATCAATCTCTCTCTCTCAGCTTTGGGCAACGTTATCTCTGCCCTAGTAGACGGCAAAAGCACGCACATTCCATACCGGGACTCAAAGCTGACGAGGTTACTTCAAGACTCATTAGGTGGCAATGCCAAAACTGTGATGGTGGCCAATATAGGCCCTGCCTCTTACAACGTGGAGGAGACTCTGACAACACTGAGATACGCCAACCGTGCCAAAAACATCAAGAACAAGCCGCGAGTGAATGAGGATCCTAAGGATGCCCTGCTGCGAGAATTCCAGGAAGAGATCGCTCGACTCAAGGCACAGTTGGAAAAACGGTCTGTTGGCAAGAGAAAGAGGAGGGAAAGGAGGAGAGATGGTGGGGAAGAGGAGGAGGACACTGAAGAGGGTGAGGATGAGGGAGATGACAAAGACGACTATTGGAGGGAGCAACAAGAAAAGCTGGAAATTGAGAAGAAAGCGATAGTTGAGGATCACAGCTTGGTCGCAGAAGAAAAGATGAGACTGCTGAAAGAGAAGGAGAAGAAAATGGAGGACCTGAGGCGAGAGAAGGAAGCAACAGAAATGTTGAGTGCTAAAATCAAGGTAGAGTCCTTCCTTGTCCTACTTTTTGAAAGCAATTTATTTAGGCTGTGGGGAGAAAAGAGGGTTTCCCAAATCTTAAAGATATTTCACCAAAAATTTCCAGGATAGTGATTTGTGTTTAGATTGGAAGATTTTAAAATAAAGTATTTCTAGACAGAAGTTGAAATTTCCACCATTAGTTACATACTTCAATATTCATGAGTTGTTTCATCGTTCTTATGTGCTGATCTTGTAGGACCTGAAGCAATCATCAGCACAATAAAATGTGACCATACGTCTCTTCACAAGCTGTGGCACAAAAAGTGCTTCGCTCTGTCACAGATCACGAACAAGTTCTTTACAGGAGAGCACGCGTCGTGGGTCTCCAGCTTCGTTCACACCTTGCAGCAAGGCACAATTCCCAGCGAGTTACCGTTTCGTTAATCCCGCAGCTTTGTAGGAATTTTAAGAAATAGTGATTCTTGCAGCAGGTGACTTGAAAGAGAACGTTAAATAAGGGGCTGCCCTGAAGAGGTTGTGTCCGTAGGAGAGGAAGTTGCATTCTGTGGTCACTGAGAGAAACTTCTCACCGTGGTTTTTCCTTTCAGGCAATGGAAAGCAAGCTTCTGGTGGGAGGGAAAAATATTGTGGATCACACGAACGAACAGCAGAAAATCCTGGAACAGAAACGACAGGAAATTGCAGAACAGGTACACGGAAGAATGTTTGTTAGTTTGTGTGGAAAGCCTAGCTGCAGAGCTTTTCTAAAACATTGTGTGAGGAGAAACCCTAAGAAAATTTTCCCAGGCTTAATCCTAAAATTGGTTTAATGGCAATCATTAATCTCAAAAGAAGGGGGAAGGGCTCACCATTGTATGCAGTATGTAAAGAAGGTTTAGAATAGTTTTCTCCCAGCTTTTCACATTAAAGATTTATGTCCTCTCTCGATTGGAGCTGTCTGTAAGTGAGGAAGTAATTGGAAGACCTCCGGGAGTGACAGATCAGCCATTAGCTCGAGGGGGGGGTGTTTACTGTGTGCTAAAAGTTCATTTTCTGTTACGCATTTTCTGTTGGTGTTTCTGTAAGTGCCATGACTTGTACGAATTGATAAAAGAATCTAAACATGACCCTTGATTTCTTTAACTGAAGCTCGAGCCCTTATTCACATGATCTGGTTTTAATAGCAAAATAAGGACAAAGAAGATTTAATGCTTCTGGTATTTCTAAGGCAAGAGATAGGAAGAACTAGAAAGAGAAGGAAAAGCCCTGGAACGCAGGGAGGTAAAAACGCCCTGAGCGGTGGTTTCATGTACGTCAGCCTGGAGGCGGCAGCGTGGTTGTGGTCTTTAATATTGTATGCCATGTTCTGCAGAAACGTCGGGAGCGAGAAATCCAGCAACAGATGGAAAGTCGAGACGAGGAAACTCTAGAGCTGAAGGAGACCTATAGTTCTCTTCAGCAAGAGGTGGACATAAAGACCAAAAAACTCAAAAAGGTAAAAAGACAATGATTCCACGTCTCATGGGTTAGGATTAAAATCAGCTTGTGTGGGAAAGTGAAAGGATCGTGGGCACATTATGACTTCGGCTCTTGTTGTCTGTTCCAGTTGTTCTCCAAGCTGCAAGCTGTGAAGGCAGAGATCCATGATCTCCAAGAAGAGCACATCAAGGAGCGCCAGGAGCTGGAACAGACCCAGAATGAACTTACCAGGGAACTAAAGCTGAAGTAAGTCCCCTCACTTCATTGCCTGCTATTAACTGTAACAGGGGTGGTTGCTTTGTGTGGGGACTGGAAGGTCTGCCTTGCACATGCTTGTGGAACAAGATTTAAATAAGAGAACTAAAACGTTCCTGCTTTTCCAGGGCGGTATTAAGTCAGCAGGAGAGGAGCAGTGGAGAAAAGCATCAGCTAATTATGTTTCCTGTGTATTTCTCATTTTTGTGGTGGCATGTAGGCACCTGATTATTGAAAATTTTATTCCCTTGGAAGAAAAGAATAAGATCATGAACAGGTCATTCTTTGATGAAGAGGAAGACCAGTGGAAACTGCATCCCATAACCCGTCTGGAGTGAGTGTACTTCGAATCTTTTCCTGGGATGGAATTATAGGTCATAGGAAACCCTCTAGCTGTCAAGAGCAAGGTACCCTGAAAGAGGGATTGAACTGGGGATTTGAACTGGTCCTCTAGAGTTCGTAGCTTCTTGCTGCACCATAAAATAAAAAATTTTATTCCTCTTAGTAGGTTGAATAAAATAGGAGTAGATAGTTAGGAGAATTCTTGGAAGGTTAGGCTCTTTCTTCTAGATGAGCCCAATAATGATGTATAAAATACATGTAACAGTGCATTCACCGTTAAAATAGCCGTAAATTCCTGTCATATTTCTTTGCTGTTTTAGATAGGAAAGCTCTCAAATTATTATGAGAGCTGTGGCTAGATCCTGACGCTCTACAGAAAGTTCTCTACAGCAAGTTTAGAAAGTTGGGTGCAGCTGAGTGCATCTGTGGTCTGTAGAGTAAAAACGTGTGTAAACCCTCCCCTTTGTGCAGGGAACGGGTGACGTGGGATAACTGTCTTATCTTCTTGTCCCTGATGAGAGGGCTCTTCCTGCACATGCAGCCTGGGTAGCTTCTGCTCTCTTGAAACATATTTCGGTGTGGAATTTGCAGACGTTTTAGCTCATAAACTCCAAGAGGAGTCTTTGGTTTTGGTGTATAATAGACGTGAGTATCCATTTTTCTCTAGTAACCAGCAGATGATGAAAAGACCGGTATCTGCTGTAGGATACAAAAGGCCGCTGAGCCAGCACGCCAGGGCGTCGATGATGGTCCGTCCAGAGGCTCGGTACAGGGTAAGCCCAGATGTGGTCACAGCCTTCACGTGTTCACCCTCCTGATCAGGGGAATGGTGGTTTCGGAGGATTGTTAGGTTATCAATGGGATGCAAATTTTTATGGTGTCCTGCATACATTTATGAAGTTCTTCAGAATAAGCTTCTGGAGGGAAAAGAAACAATTTGTATGAAAACATGCAGACTTTGATTCTGCTTCTGCTGTCTCAGGCAGAGAACATCGTATTGCTGGAACTTGACATGCCCAGCCGAACAACGAGAGACTATGAAGGTCCAGCCATTGCTCCCAAAGTTCAGGCGGCTCTAGAAGCGGCTCTGCAGGAGGAAGAAGAGATACAGGTGGACGCTTCAATCTTTGAGAGCACTTCAAACAAAAAATCAAAACCCAGGTGAGTGGGAGTTTCAGCAAGCAGCCTAGCCAACAGCAGAGGGACAAGGACAGTTGCTGGCTGTCAGCACTTCTCATCAGTAGAGTTTAGACAAGCTTGGCTGCAAAGCAGAGAGAGAAAGAGAGGGACAGGGGACAGAAGAGAAGGCTGAGACTGATTAGCAAGTAAATTCAGCTTTTGGAAGATTAATTTTGATGAGTAATAGGTGACACTGTCGGGGCTTTTTGGTTATTTTTTCATTTTTGCTTCTTCAGGCCTAAAACTGGAAGAAAATCAGGGGGACCCTCTTCAGCAGGCACCCACAGTTCTCAGCTCTACCCGCAGTCCCGAGGGCTGGTTCCGAAGTAAAACCAGCAGCTCCTCTCCGGGGCGCGAACAGCCTTTGCCTTCAGAGAGCAGAGACAAGTAAAAACCTGCAGAGAGAACTGCCAGCCAGACTCCAGCCCCTCTCCCCTGGAGGTGGCCTCTTTGCTGTGTAACTGACTTGTGCCAGTCCGGGTGCGCCGAGCCACAGGAAGATACCTGCTTGAAATTCAGCATTTGGCCTCCGTGGGAGACAGATTTTAGTTAGGAAATGAGAAATGCATGAGGTACATTGAAGTGTGTTAGAAGCAGTGGGAAGCGTGGGGATCACCTCGCAGCATCACCGTCTCTCCTTCCGCACTAGCCCTTCGGCTGCACGGGGCTTTTTTGCCGTTGGGCAATGCGAAGACAGAGTTGAAAGTCGTCTCAAGAGAACCACCGCTCCAGAGCTCCGTAGTGAGAACGAGATGAGGTTAACAAGCAGAGGATCTGTTCACACTTGACTAGGTGCATAGTTTTTCCTCTTCCTGCTTGAAAGACTGGCATCACCATTTGGGGTTAAGAAGTTGGTCTGAACAGGCAGGATGTCGGCTTGTGCCTCCCTTTAGAACTGCAGGACAAAAAAGGGGTCTTGAAAGCAACTTTGTGCTCTCTAGAAAGGAAGCAATAGAAACTGAAGTCCTTTCCTTGTTTACAGGCCTAAGTTAGAGTTCCTCTAACCTGACCTCCTACAGACCTCACCCCTACCCACGGGAACCGCCCTGTCACAGGATACATCTGCATACCAGTGCCAGCTCCACAACTTTCTTCCTCTCTCTTGCTTCCACCTTCACCCCTGGCATTCCAAACCAGTGTCCGTACGAAGTCTTTAAACTGTGGGGCGGCGTGCGGCCGTTTTCTCACATCGCCCACTCTTCACGGGAAAGGTAGTGGTGGCTCCGAGCTGTCTCCAGGCAAGCTCCCGGGGCCGACTCTGCTCTCCCTGGAAGCTGGGCAGAGGGTGGAGCACCGTAGCGTGGAGCTGCCTTTGAGTGCTCTCTTCTTGTCCCTTCCCTCGCTGTCTGAGGAGCTTCGGCGCCTTCTGTGCCCCACCTGCTCCATGCTAGAAGCTTTCCCTTTGCGCCTGCCCATGCAGCGCCCGCTGGGAGTGAAAGCACGTGCAGCCGGGTCTGGGTAGTGGAATCTGGCGTGAGTTCCGGGGGTTTTACTTTGAAAACAAGGGAGGAAGAGCTCCTGCTTTCGACGGTCTCTTTGCAAAGCTGCCCTGTGGCTAAAGCAGGTTCCCGTGACGCTGCAGGCTCGCGTGGCAGGGCAGAGGGAGGTGGAACTGCCACGCTGAGGACAGAGTGAGGTGTCCCTGTCTAGTGTCTCACAGCTCGTTCGTAAGTTTTAGTTCACCGTACATTGAGGCTTGGGATGTTACTTTTTCTGGTTGCTGTTGGCTGTCGTCCTATGAACGTTCTTGCCTGTTCCCTCTCCCTCACCGGTGACTTCCTCCAGACTGACAAGTGTGAGTGTATGAGGACTTGCCTGCTTCTAGGAATGCTCTGATGCGTGGACTCTGCCTTGTGCGCTCGCTACGTATCTGCGGAGCGGCTTCACCCAGGCTGGAGAACTCCGTTGTGTCTGAGCCCCACGAGCAGGAGGGACGGAGCACTGGGCACGGCTCACCTCTGCATCCTGCGGGCACGGTGCCTTGGTAAGCCAGCTGCCCAGCTGCCCGGTTCAGCGCCGACTCGGCTGCCTTCGCTCATGGAGCGCTTCTCTGGACCACAAGATTAGTATATACATATATATATATATATTAGTTTTGGTGGAGGAGAGAGGAGTTTGCCTATACTTGAGAGAGCTGGCATCCAACAAATTTCTTTCAACCTGAACATGGAGACCTGGCATAATCTTCCTTTTTATAAAGCACTGCTCATGTACAGAGAGCCTTTTAGTTGGCTCTTGTTGCATAATATAATGTCACCTTCTCTCCCCTCTCCTCCTCCTCTCTAGCACATAATCTTCTGTACTTGGACATTTTAAAAGATGATTGTATGGTGTCAGTGCTCAGAGAAGTGAAGTGAAACAAGGCCGGGGGTCTAAAACCTGAAACGGCGATAAAATATGTAACTGCCTATATGTACATACCTATGTACACGTATGTTTTATGTGAATAATGCCTACACAGACACCTCTGTGTCCGCACATGCGCACACTTCCTCAGTTGCCCCGTTCCGTAGGGAATTCTGCATTAACAGACTCCCACGCTGGAAACTCCTCTTGTGGCAGGGCTGGCACGGTGGAAGGCGCGGTGCAAACCCAAACCGTTCTCGTTTTAGTGTTGATAAACTAGCTGGTTAATATGGCAGAAAGGCTCTGCTTTTAATTCTGTAGAAATTCATTAGCAAGGTGAAAGAAATTCAATAGGGTGGACAAAGAATAAAACTGCATATTTAGTCATTGTATTTGACTTGGAGCTGTGGCTGGAGATGGCGTTAGCGTATTCGTGGGCAATCTCAGATTGTTACAGAAGCTTTTACAGTCTCATTCCGATGGACTTACCCTCGACCAGATGCTCAGAGTGGCACTGATACTAAGGTAAAATACATTGTCGTAAGCTGTACAAAACATACTGAGCTCTGGGTTGGAGTTAGAGGCTTCCCTGCCGAGTTTGCCCCTCTCTGGGTGCGATGTGAACCGTCGGGGCTTCCTGCGGGTTAGCGGCCAAAGGCAGGAAGTCCTCCAGCCTCCTGGGAGAGGCCCTCGGACAGCGTGCGCGTCGGAGTTTCTCCATAGGAATGTTCAACACCCTTCTCATCTCTGCTCTGATCTGTATAATGGCATCTTGTTTTAAAAAGTGACGTGCAGCAGAAGTCGGCCCCTGGCTCTGGGAGCAAGCACCGCGTGACACTGAAGCATAGGAACGAAAGCACTTTCTTAAAATCCTTAACATAGGTCTAGCGCCTTTTTTAAAAATATTTGCATGCTGCTTGAATCTTCTAAAACCCATACCTCTGTCACGGCCCCTCGGTGCGTTACACAGATCAGATCAGACCTGCGGGCGGTGTTGGGTTTAGGTGTAGGAAGTCTGCCTTCGCGCAACGCGGAGAGTTTCAGCGAGGCGCCTGTGAACCGGGATCTGTCCTCTCCGCGATGGTGCACGTGCACCGGGCTTTGAACGGTT